GGGGGGCTTGGGGGGGCACAGCGGGCTCCAGCCGGGCCGGGTGCTGCCCCTCACTCACCGGGTAAAACCTCACGAGGGTGTTGGAGAGCTGGATTCTGTCCGGCAGCGGCAGAGGGAAACCCTCATCTAACCTGGCTGGAAATGACAACACACGTGGGGGCACTGGGATGGGAACAGGAGCAAGAGGGAGCACAGCCGTGCGAAGCAGGCGGCCACCTCCTCCCCCGGCCCTTTCTTCCCCGCTGCTCCCGGGGTAGGCAGAGGAAATTCCCCCCCGGCGCCACAGAAGGGCTGGGGGCTGCATGTTGCGCTGTGTCACCCCCCCAAGCCCCCGGCAGCCGCCAGCCCCGCTCTGGCTCGAATTGCTGGGGAGTCATGAGGAGCAGCGAGCGGGGGAGAGGGTCTGGAAAGCATTAGGATGTGCGTCCTGCTCATTTTTTCCGTTGTGTTCGCTGCTGGATGCATGTCACAGCGCCGAGAGGCTCCTGCTCGCCGCTGCCTGCCTCAGCCGGGCGCTTTTACTGCCGGCTCCTGCACTCGCTGAAGGCTTTACCCACCGATCCGGCTGGGCAACTGGGATTTAATTAGCGAGCTGGGCCTGCTCGGATGGATCGACCCGGTTGGCAACTACTCCAGCACCCCCATTCCCCGCAGCAGGTTCTCACCATTAAGACGCGGGAGCAGGATATTGGAAGCAAGGATGTTCATTATGGACTGCAGCATTCGCACCTGGGGAGCGGAGAGAGGGGAAGGAGAAAAGCTTTAGCTGTGAGAGAGCAGGTGACCGGGCGCCAGAGGACAATTAGGAAAAGAGACGAGGAGCTGGGAGAGGCACACGCTTCGCCAGAGACCAGAGGCTTTGTCTGGCCGTGCTGGCGGGGTAGGAAGTGTAGGGGTGAGGGAGGCAGCGGCGTCTGGCCCGGCATCCTCTCCCAGGCTTGCAGGCTGAGGCGGGAGGCGTCTCTGGGGTCAGTGTGGGGTCCTGGGTGCACCCCCCGGTCCCGTGTTGGAGGGAAGGGGGTGAAGGAGGCCTCTCCTCCATGCTGGGGGCTCTGTCATGGTCAAGGATAGCTTACCTGGAAAGTGCCGACATCCGAATGCTTCAGAGAGAGCCTCATCCTGCGCAGAGAGGAGCGGCGCTGTGAGGGCTGTCCCAGTGGAAGGAGCAGTTCCCACCCTGCTCCCACCGATGTGCAGATCCTGCTCCCTCCAGCCCCAGCTCATCCCTCCGCTCCAGGTCCGTGTCCCTGGGACCTCCCCACCTCCCCTCTGAACAGAATCACCCCCAGCCAGCCCAGCGCTCGGGGCATGGGGCGAGCGGGGCCCCGCGCTGCTCCCCCTCCGTACCTGCCCACCTTCAGGCTCCCGACTATGTGGCCGGATTTCACATCCATGACGGCCGAGACATTGCCTGTCTGGGGAGAGAGAGCAGCGCTCGGCAGTGCGCACCCCACCGCACCCCACCGCAGACACCCGGGGGAACGGCTCCGACCAGCCGAGGCGCAGCGGGTCCGCTGCCCGTCCAGGGGCCTGTCTGTGCCCAGCGTGGAACCCGGCATTGTCAGCGTCTTTCTGTTGGGGACGACCCCAGGGCTCGTTTCCTCGGCACCTCCCTGGCAGGAGCTCGACGGCAGCGGCTCAGCATGGCTGATCGCCCCGGAGGACGGTGCTCAGCCCCAGCTCCCCTCTTGGAAGAGCTCACCAGGCACTGCGGCAGCTTGGGCTGGGTTTGCACCCGGAGCCGCCCAGCCAGGACCGCCCTCCCCACCGCAGGCTGTGCCCGAACTCACCAGGCTGAGGAGGAAGAGAGGAGCCAGGCTGGAGTTGGGAAGGATGGCGTAAGCCTGGATGTCCACGACAGGCCTGAGTGAGAGCCCCTCTGGCCCAATGTCCAGGAAGGGGGCGGAGGGGGCCGAGAGCCTGAGCTTCATCAGCATGTCCGGGTACATCCTCTCGAGCTGCAGAGGAGCAGGGAGAGGGTAGGGACAGCGGCACAAACCCCCTTCCTGGGGGCAAAGCCTGCACATGGCAGGAGCTCTGGGGAGGCAGGGCCGGACCACTCGCCTGGGGAATGAAGGCTGAGAAGGTGGTGGTGTTCAGGTGGAATTCAACACCCTTCGGGATCTGCGGGGGGAGAACAGTCACGCTGGGGTGATGTGGCACAGCCGAGCCCATGGTGAGATCAGCCTTGCTGCCCCGACGCGCTGCCGAGCCCGAGAGCCCCCTCCCACAGTCCCCAGCTCGCCGCCTCAGGCACTGCTGGGGGGTCCCCGAGACCGCGGGTGGCACCCCAGCTCCTCTGCAGGCTGAACCTGCTGCCCAGGGGCGCGGGCACAGCCCCGACCCGGCCGCGCCGCTCACCATGGAGTCTGTGATCTCGAAGACCAGCGCCCCGGCGCTGTGGTAGGCGCGGCCGGCTGTGTTGAAGAAGTAGCTGGAGGCCCCGAAGTAAACCATGCGGTCGTGATCCGGTGGGAAGGCCAGCGGCAGCGGAGCGAAGGGGACGGCGGAGCGGTGGGCCAGAGAGAAGAATTCGCCCTGGGAGGAGGGGGAGAGGTGAAGCAGGAGAGCAGAGGGTGGTGGGACTCGCCCGCTGACATGGGCCGGCAAGCAGCACCTGCAGGAGGTACCAAAACCTGGTTCCCCGCCCGCCCGTGGCGATGGCAGCGCCAAATGGAGCTTCCCCAGGGCAGCCGCTCACCTTCAGGTCCACGTCCAGGGACTGGGCAGTAGCAGTTGGGGGTGCCACCAAGGAATAATCGATCCCAGCCCTGGCGTCTATCCTGGCTGTGACTGTAAAACACGAGGCGGGCAGATGGGCGGGCGGGAGCTGGCACGGGAGGGCCGGGAGCAGGTTGCCGACGCCGACGCCCAGGCTGTGCCGTGCCCGGGCCTCCCGGTGCAACAGCTCAGTACCCGCGTCATGGGTGCTTGCTCTGTTTAGAAGCAAAAAAACCAATCACATTTCCCTCCTGACTGTTTCTCAGGTGTGCAGGCTAACCCCTGGACTCGGGGGACAGTCTGGGTCCCCGGCTAAGGCAGCCCGTGCCCCCGGCAGCGCCAGCTCCCCTGAGCAGCGCCCACAGGCAGGCAGGGAGCGCGGTGACAGGTCCCTGCTGCCGCGGGGCTCCCCGGCTCCCAGCTCGGGGCAGAAATCCAAGGAAAGGGGGAGCGGGCACAAGTACAACACTGTCCTCACGGCTGGGAAAGGCGAGGCAGAACTGCTCCCACAGCCCCGGGAAGCCCCCGTCGGTACCTGGCAGGGTCCGGAGGTACGGCTGCAGCTCGCTGCGCACGGACTTGACCACGATCTGGCAGACCTGCGGGCAGGGAAGGCAGCGGAGCTGAGCGGGGGCAGCGCCGCCGGGGGCCTGTGCACACCCCGGGCCAAAGCCTCAGCCGCGCGCCTGGCTTTGCTGCCCGGTGCCGGTTGGATTCCTTGCAAAAGCCTGCTAAAATAAAAGAGCATGGCGCTGTCTCTGCTCATCAAACGTGGCAGGTACAAGCGAAGTTTGTCCTGCAGGCAGCTGCCGCGCGCGGTTCGGCTGCATCGAGGCCCTTGGAGGGAACCTCCCGAGCGCCCTCAGAGCGTCCCCACAGCCCGGGCTGTGCTGAGCCCCAAGGCCCAGCAGCCGAAAGAGTTAACTCACCCCGCCGGGCCAGGAGCACTAATTGCAGCACAAAGCAGAGCTCGGTGCTGCCAGGGCAGGAGAGAAAATCCCTCTGCTGCTGTCATCCCCTGGTGAAGCCTTGGCATTAGTGGGAGATTTAATTGCAGGCTTAACACCAGCCCAAGAAATTCACTGCAGGGCATGGTGCTGCAGACGGACCGGATAATCTGCACAAGCTTTCTTCAGCGCTTTCCCCATAACGGCACCGAAACGGCCAGGCAGGATCAGGCCCTCATCTGTCTGACTGGGCACCCGGCCTGCCCCAGCCGGCGGCGACACGCAGAGCTGGACCGCGGGGGAGCACGCAGCCGCTGGCTGAGCAGCGCCGCGAGGAAGAGGAGGGACAGAGCCCTGGGCAGGGCCTTCTTGGCAGGAGGTTGCTGCTCTTCCCACTGCCCAGATACTCGTCTGGCTGTGCTGGAAACGCCCCATCGCTGCCTGGCAGGATGGAGCTGCGGACAGGCAAACCCAGCCCCGATCCCAGGGACGGGATCTCCCAATGATGGGATCTCCCAGTGATGAGTTCTCCCAGTAACAGCATCTCCCAGTGACAGGATCTCCCAGTGACGGGATCTCCCAGTGACGGGATCTCCCAGTGACGGGATCTCCCAGTGACAGGATCTCCCAGTGACGGGATCTCCCAGTGACAGGATCTCCCAGTAACAGGATCTCCCAGTGACAGGATCTCCCAGTGACGGGATCTCCCAGTAACAGGATCTCCCAGTGACGGGATCTCCCAGTGATGGGATCTCCCAGTGACTGTGTCCCGCGGCACTGGGGACACGAGGAACGCCCAAGCGTGTGCAGCGAGAGCAGGAGGCAGCCACGGGCTGTCGGGACGGGCTGTGCCCCCCGGTCCCGGTGCAGTGCTGCTCCCCACCCCACCCTCTCCTGCCCGCTGCCCCTCACCCCTCCTCACACCCGGAGAAAGACGCAGAAGCGTGCGTGGGGCGAAGGGGCTGGGAGGGGGCGCAGAGGAGAGGTCCCCTCCGGTCCCCAAGGCTGCCCTCCCTCCAGGAGGCAAAACAGCAGAAAAGGCCCCTGAGCCGCGGCTTCGGCCCCGCCACCGGCCCATCTGCTGCCGCCGGTCCCAGGGGACGGGGCAGAGCCTCTGCCCGGCGTCGGGAATCGCGCCCGGGCAGGCTGGGATCGGCCGCGGGAGCGGGATTTGCCCGTTCTGCAGCTGCCTCCTGCCCGAGCAGGGGTCACATCCAGGGAGGCTGCAGCTCGTGCCAGTTAGCCTTGTAGTAATTATTGCTAACAGCTTGTTTCCCTGTCTTGTCGCAGCCTCCTCGTGGCGGCGTCTGTAGCGGGAGGCCGGTGCCGGGGCCCCCCCGATGCCCCGTTAAACCAGGCGGCAAGTGGCTGAAATCCAGAATGAGAATTTCCCCCCCAGCGCTCCCCAAAGCGTGCGGGCTTGCGGCCGGTTAGAGGACAGCTCTGATCAGGTTTCCTCTGGTACAGGGAGTTTGGCCGAGGCATAAGATCTAATTAACTGACCACATGGAAAGAAAAGTCTTTGTTAATTAGGAACCAATTACACTGGGCTTTGGCAAAGGCTGCAGGTTTCGGATTCAGCCTGAGCCACACGATGCCGCGGAGACTGCAGCCAGCGATGCCCGTTCCTCTGGTTTTCACCCGACCGGCCGCACGCCCGTGGGCTCTGGCTCTGGTTAAACCCCGGCGTGTGCCCCGACCCTGCCAGCACCGCAGGCAAGCGAGGGCTAAGGACCACCCTAAGGCCTGCCCGCCTTCCCTCACGTACCTCGGCCTGCAAGGTCCTCCGGAACGCGGGCTCAATGGCGCGGTGGAAGAGGTTGTAAAGCCATCTGCAGAGAAAAGCAGAGAAGAGCCCTGCTTTCTCTAGCTCAGAGGCTGCTGCAGAAGCATTTGCCCAGGAAGAGGAGACACTGGAGAAGCAGGACACCGGGGAAGGTCATTCCTGCACCCACTCGGCATCTGGCTTCGCCTCAGGGTTTATATTTGCGACCAGACCAGCTTGTAAAGCACCTGCACACAAGTCTAGTGGCTGCCTTAAATCTCCCTTAAATGTGCAGCCACAGCAGGATATTCAGGCCAGGTTTAAGTCCGTTCCCTTGCACATCTGGATGAGGAGGATATTGCAAGAGTCCAGAGGCAGAGACACCCGGGTGGTGCTGTGCCAGCGCCGGCAGCCTGCGGGCACACGGGGCAGCCTCCAAGGGACTGCAGATACACCAACAGCTTACTCCTCGCCCCAGGGCCTGGAAGCCGTTCCCACGGCAGACGGGCTAACGCGCAGCGTTTCTGGGCCTCACAGGGAAGTTACGTACCCAAACTTGCCCGAAAAGTGTACTCGGACTTTGGAGATGCGGGTGCTGCAGTCGGAGGTGTCAGCGGTGGGTTTCCCGGAGGCGTCGCTGCCCAGCTGCAGGTTGATTTTGATATAGACATTCTCCACCTTCAGGTCAAACGAGCCGTGGTCCCGGCTGCGGGGAGGGGAGGATGAGAAAGGGACATTTCTCAGCGCCGAGTCCTGGGGGGGACCCCAAATCAGCTTGGGGATGGGTCTGTGTAGCTCACGCTCCCCCCTGTAGTCAGCACCCAGTGGAGACTGGGGAAGTTTTTAAACTCAGAGAAACCAAATTTCACTGGGACATAAACGAGGAGAGAGAACTTTTAAGTAGAGAGGATCAAGAGCAAGTAGGGGAGATGGACGAGAGATGGGGGAGCTCACACACGGCTCCTCCTTCACCCCCCTGGTTCTTGCCTCCCGCCCCGTTTCATCCATCTCAGTGGCTGGACGAGGGGCAGTGAGCTCTGCCCACCCCGGCCCCAGCTCAGGCCTGTCCCTGCGGGTGCTCGGGAAAGTGCCCCCTGGGGCAAGCAAGCAGGAGGGGCTGTCCCTCACACCCCAGGGGCCACGAGAGGGGAGATGGATTTCACAGCGTCTCCCCGACCACCCACAAGCAGGACAAATGCTGTCTGGCCAGCTCCGGGGGCTCCTGGCGTGGAGGGAGACCTGGGTGGGCTCCCCCAGGGCGAGGGGCTCCCAGACCTGCATCGGGCTGCGGGGAAGACGAGTCAGGGGATCCGGAGAGAGCAAAGCAGCAGCTGCCCGGGCACAAGGGAGAGGAGGGAAATCCTGCCCCGGCCCAGAGAGGGAGGCGCAGAGCGAAGCAGGGGGCGGGGAGCTGGGCACCCACATGAAGTGCAGCTTCACCCGCCAGTTCCCGTCCACCTCGGCGAAGGCGTTGGAGATGGAGACCTGCAGGCCCACGCTGGGGACCAGGGAAATCCGCGAGTACGGCAGGTGGAAACTGCGAAGGTCCAAACTAAAAACCAATAAAGAAAAACCACGGGTCACACTACAGGGGTGCCTCGGCCCTGGGCACACGGCTGGGGGGAGGGAGCGGGGCCAGCGTGCCAGCACCCCCCCCAGCGCCCGAAGCGAAGCGGGGTCCCTGCAGCACCCGGAGCTCAGTTCGAACCCCCGCGCAGAGGGGACGGGGGGTTCAGCTCGAACCCCCGCACAGAGGGAGCGCAGAGGCGCAGCGGGGCAGCGCGGAGCTGGGATCTCCGCAGGGCCCCCCCCGCCGGCTCCCATTGCACAAGATTCACCCGCACCCCGAGGGACGACACCCCGGTTCCCTTTTTCCCCTCGCTGCTCCGGGGGCTCCCTGTCCTCCCCCTCCCGGCCCTCCAGTGCGTTGGGGGGCAGCGAGTCGCTCTGGGGTGCTGCCAGGGCTCACCTGGAGATCTCATAGTGCACCTTCCCCACGTGCCGGATGCGAAAGTCACCCGAGATGTCCGGCAGCTTCAGCTGGGCCAGCTCCTGCTCCAGCACCGCGATCCCCTGCTGATGGGCTGCAGGGGCAGAGGGAGCGTCACCGCCACCCGCTTGCCGCGGGGCCGGGAGCAGGCGCCGGGCACAGCGGAAGGGTTAAAGGGAACACCCAGGCGATGCCCTGGCTGCTTTCCACCTCCCGGCCTATCTGTGAAGCTGATCTCGGTGCACTGAGCCCTGTGAGCACACGGGCAACGCTGCCTGACGCCTGCCCAGGGGAAGGGGGTGGAAGGTGGGGAGAGGCCCCAGCCCGCGCTCTCTGGGCTGGGCATTGCGCGGGGTGTGCGGGGGGTGCCAGGCGCTGCTCCGTGCCCAGCCCCGGCGGGCAGAGCTGGAGGGAGCCCCCGACCCCGGGAGCAGCGTGGCGGGAGCGGGGGCTGCATCCCCGCATCCATCTGGGAAGGCATCACGTCCTCCTCTCCCGCCCGGCTGGCAGAGCCGCCGGGTAAATGAGCTGTTTCTCACACAGTGTATTCCAATCCATAACGGCGCTCGGCTGGAGCCGGGGCTCTGGCTGCCTCGATAAAACCAGCACGGGGCCCATCTATCTCCGTCACGGCCCCCCCGCAGCTCCCCACCTCCTCTCTTCCACAGCTCACTCCTCCGGCGCTCATGGCTCAGACACGTGCCATGAGAGCAGAACCCTCCGGTCCTGCCAGCCCTGTGCCCCCCCAACCCACCTGGGTGCAGCCCCCCAAGACCCCCGCGGGGCCAGGCACCCTGCAGGGGCTCCACGAAGGTGGGGAGGGGCGGATGGGGGCATCAGCAGGAAGTCTGGGGCGATGGTGCATTCGGCACCCACAGCCAAGGGTCCCCCCATCCTGCCCCAGGACCCTGCTCTCTCCAGGTGGGCGCCCAGCTCCCCACCTCAGCCCCCGGCATGTTCACGAGTCAGGAGCC